TTTTTTTTAAACGTAAGATCAACAGCGTGGAATTGTGGCCTTCCTAACATATTTGTAATGCAACCAGTGTGGCCATTTTATTGTTCAGGCTAGGTGATGAGTATTTAGGATCCATAATGGTGTGCCATTTTCTGTATTTCTCTGTACTTTAGTTTAAATCTGAACACTTCCATAACAAAATATTTTTTCAATTCATTGTCTTCAGCTTACCAAAATAACAACCAAATACATTTATTAGACCTTATCATGCTTTATCTTGGTGGGGGCTCCCGCTCTGCCGAAATTAATCGCAGCCTTGGATGGGGGCGGGGGAGGGGGCTGAACCTTCTTTTATGGCTGTTCTTGGCTGGCTCCTGCTCTTTCAACCCTATTCCTCAGTCGGTGCAGTCTCCAAGGGTTCTCACCTTAACCCGCGTGGTGTCATTCTCCACCTGCATCTGCCTCCTACTAACTCCCAAATTTCCAATCCGCCCAAGCCTCCCCCGCGCTCCAACCACCCGTGCGTCCCCTGCCTCCCCGCCTTGTCCGAAGCCCAAGCCTCGCATCGCCAGCCGGGGATCGAGGGCCCCTCGGCGTCTCTCACCGGGCTTCTATCAGCTCCGGGCGGCCGCTCACCCTGCCACGGCCCCGCACTGCCTTTCTCTAGAGATGGGGCCATTTAGGGATTGCAGGATTCGCCCCTCCCCCACAAAAGGTCCCCGAAGGCTCGGGGCCGACCGCATGGGCCAGCCTAGCAGAGGCGCGCCCAGGGGTAGGCCCCGACTTAGCTCCGCCCCTCCCGGGAACACTTCGGGAGGCCTGAGATGCGGAGCCAGCTACCGGGAGTCACAGCCGGGCGCCGAGGGGCAGTTGGAGCCGGTGGGGCACAGGATCGGTCCCAAGCTCGAACCCAGGACTCACCCGGCTCAGGTGACAGTTCCACTCGTCGCCGCTACCGCCGCCAGGGGCTGACCAATTAGCTGCCCTGGGAAAGCCTGGCCCGCCCCTCAGCCGCTGTCGCCTGGCCCACGAGCCCCGCGTCCTGCGTTTCCGGCTCCTCCCACTGCGGGGACGCCGGAAGTGCTTCCGCGGCGCTGCTCCGCCGGCGGTTATATCTGGCGCCTGCAGGTGGTGTTTTTTTCTGTCTCACGGAGCCCCTTCCGTAAAGTGAATGGCCGTACCTCGCCTTCGCTCATGGGCACTAACTCCTTGGGGCTCCTCGCGCCAATAGGAGGAGCTCCATCTCATCCCCGGCGTTCCAGACCCTCCAGGCCCGGGTCCTGCCCAGTGCGTGGGGTGCTCCAACCGTCTGCCCCTCTCCCATGCTGGCGATTTGTACGGTTGGTGCGGGTTCCCTGAATGGCTCCTCTGCACTCATTACATCCCCAAGTCAGACGGATCGTCCCTCCCCGTTGCCCGTACAACACCGGAAACAGCACTGATTTCAGCCCTTTTGCTCCATTTGGGAGGTTCTCTTTCCTACTAGATGGTGGACGTGGCGAAAGCAAGGTCGGCTGATTCCTGCTTAAGTAATCAGCGTCCAGCACGAAACACTGAGTAGACCCTGGTGAAGGAATGATCCTTCTAGGGGTAGACGAAGCAGTCCAGATGCAGGAGAGCTAATCAAACTACAGTGAGGCCTCTGCCGAGGAGGGCTGATGAGATGCAAAATAAAACTAGGAATAGCCATTTATTGAGTGCTTTACCTTGAGCCAGTCACTGCCTCACATTATTTTATTTAATCTGCAAGTAACACGAGGAAGTAGAGACTGAAGCTCAGAGAGGTTCAATAACTTGGCCAAAGTCACCCAACTTTTGAGCCAAATATTTGAATTTGCTGAGTGTTTGAGTTATTAATTGGATATTACTATCCTACAAAAACAAAATATACAAAGTTGGCACGTTTTGAGTCCAGGGAATGTCAATATTTGGACTTCCGCGTATTTATGTACAGTATATGCATTTGGACTAAAAAAACAACAGGAGATCAGACCGAAACAGTAGATAAACAGGAGCTTGGGGCTCCGGGGACCAATTTTTTGTATGTCTGAATTTATGTAGGTGGCTCTATCTTCCAATGGTCACACTGAGCAAAGCTGTGTACTGATGAGACAAGTAAAGAGTTAACAGGAGTGGGCTTGTGAGCTGGCAGGAGGGGACAGGCACAGAGTTAACAGGAGAGCTTATGGGCTAACAGGAACAGCTAAACATTAACCACTTGGCTCTGAATCTCCTGGCTAGCACTGCACCTGCAGGCTGACAAGCACCTTTCATCCATCATAGATGGGAACAGAATGGTTCCCAATCACAACAGCAACCTCCTGCAAGCTGATACCCATCATAGATGGGAAGAGGACAGTTCCCAGGAGAAGATAATTGTGTTAGCAACCCCCCTGCAAGCTGACAAGCACCCTACGTCCTGCATGCAAAAATATAAAGCCCCAGCACTCCTCATCCGTGCAGCTGTCTCCATCAGACTCTGCCCTGGCACAACTCTATTTGCCAGTATCTCCCTTACCCCTCTGTCTCGGCAGCTGTCCCTGTTGGGCTCTGCCCTGGCAAAACTCCCTTTGCCAGAACTCTCTCTTTGACTTTCAATAAATCTTTTCTCACTCTTGTAGAATCTCGTAAATTCTTTAACATTCTGTGAATGACAACAAGGGGTTAATTCTTTGCCTAGACATGTACTAGGTTATTTGGTGCATCCACAAATAAAAGCTCCTTTTGCCTGATTTATGAGACTGACAAAGAAAAAACCAAGGCCTGACTTCACTAAGGAACTTTGACACCAGGATACTGAATATTATGTGTTCCAGAACTATCATTCTCTAACCATGACTGTGGAGGTCACATCTAGTGGTCAGAACTACACAGAAAAGAACAAAGGCCCTACACATTAGAGGAAAATAGACTGAGATTGACAAAGAGCTCCCCAAATTCATGTACTGAGGTCCAGGAAAAACACTCCAGTCCCTTACTCATACTCAGCTGAATAACTCCCCATACCACAGAAATAAAACTAAATGGCACTTGGCCCAAAGGCTCATTTGAAACCAGTCAGGTTTCCAAAAGGGGCTGTTCTGCCTGGTAGAGCATCTCCCTAACTATAGCCATTCACACTCTACCTTTACAACATATACCTGTATTTAATGTCTTTAAATCAATTTACTTTTTTTTAAAGCTTAAATACATTTATTTAAAAGGAGCACCATAGCATTACCTTAAATCACTTCCCACTTCAATAGAAGGTATGTATAAAATATATACAGTAAAAATAGTATAATTTATAACCTAGCTAGATACTAGATGTCTGCAGAAAACTGTAAGACTGAAGACTGTAAAAATCAGAGATCAGCAATTGTTGGAGAAGTGATAAGTAGTAAACATTAATAGAATTTTTATTTTATATAATTGGAAAATTTCAAAGAGAACAGAAGAGGGAAGACCCACTTTATCACTAAGATTTAATGTTATTTACAGTGGACTCTGTGCACCCCTAAAATCTCCTGGTAACCACCCACAAAGGGGGCATGGGATCTCTACCTAGAAAAAAAAAGGATCAAGAGAAGGAAGGTGTCCAGCCTTTTCTAAAAGAGGAGGCTCTGGCCATGAGCCCTCAGAATCACTCTGTCAGTCAATTAACGAATGTGTGTTTAATGTCTACTGTTGGTCAGGCACTGTGCCAGGTCCAGGAGATACCAAAATGATTCATCTCCAGGAGCTTACAACCCAGTTGTGGTAGTGAAAGAAAAGACAGATGCTGCTGACCAGTGACAAGGATCTCAGGTGGCTGGATGGGGAGTGAGTGGGATGGGGCTGCTGGGGCCACAGTGTTCAGGCAACTCCTCTCTGAGGAGAGGACATTTGAGTTGAGATCTGAATGATGAGAAGAAGCCAGCCATGAGGACAAAGGGACCTTTCGTATTTCTAGCAGAAGGCACAGTGGATGCAGAGAGGCTTTGTGTAAGGAAGGGCTAGACAGAAAGACAGGAGGAAGAAGCAGACACAGGCAGAACACAGAAGGCTGGAGGTCATGCTGGGGAATTTGGATTTTATCTTCATTGTAGAGGATTTTACCTCCATTTTAAACAGTTATGAGATAACCAAATTTAAGCTTTAAAGAGCTCACACTGGGGCTGGCCGAGTGGCTCAGTTGGTTAAGAGCACAAGCTCTGAGCAACAGGGCTGCCATTTCAATGCTCACATGGGCCAATGAGCTGCACCCGAGCTGAGCTGCCACAGAGCTGCCAATAGGTGGCAGGATGGCTCAGCTGGTGAGATCAAGTGCTCCTAACAACAAGGTTGCTGGTTCAACGCCCACATGGGATGGTGGGCTACACCCACCTGCAACCAAGATTGAACACCTTGAGCTGAGCAGCGGTGAGCTGCCAACAGGCGGCTGGATGGCGACTGGACTTGGAGCTGAGCTAGCTGCGCTCTCCACAACTAAGACTGAAGGACAACAACTTGGCTGTTCCCCTTTCCCAATTCCCCAACACTGTTCCCCTTCCCAAATAAAATCTTTAAAAAAAAAAGAAAAAAAGAAAGAGGGTGGGACAAAGATGAGTGAATTATTTTAGGCAAGGACACCTTTTATAAAGCAGATTACCTCACTAGTGTGGATTATGAAATTCCAGACTGACTGGTTAAAAATTCCAGCCATGAGAGAAGCTGAAACTGTGATTAGGTTAACTATTAAATCTAGATTTAGTATCATGGGCTTCTAGTGCAAGTGACACTATTTGAGACTGCTGACTTGTTTGTTTGTTTTTTAACAATACATACCATGGAATATTATTCAACCTTATAAAGGAATAAAATTCTGACACGTACTACAACATGAACATGTAAAATAAGCCAGTCACAAAAGGAAAAACATTATAATTCCACTTATATGAGGTACCCTGCAATATTGCGATTTATAATAAAAAATACAGAGGATGCCCAAAAAATTTATACACATTTTAAGAAAGGAAAAAACTATTAAAATTACACTGATAGTAACCACTTTGAGCACCTCTTGTAATTGCAGAAGTCAAACGTGACTTGTTTTCATCTTTTGTTATCAGTATATATTATTACAATTTTAATACATTTTTTTTCCTTTCTTAAAATGTGTATACATTTTTCTGGCACCCTCTGTATATATTTAGTTTTCTTGCTGTTCCTGGAACAAAAACCGTTGGAATTTCCTAAGTGATGAGCTTGATAAAGGTGTCTTTTGTTATTCCTAACAAGACCCTTTCAACCAGACCTGTGTTTATGTTAATTATGTAACTTTTAGAAAGTCCCTAGGATGGGAGCTGATTGCTAGGAGAAACAACCCTGTAATTAGAAGGTTGTAACTTTCAGTCCCACCTCCAAGCTCCTGGGAGGGGAGAGGGGCTGCAGGTTGAGCTACTCACCAATGCCCAATGATTTGATCACTCATGCCTATGTAATAAGAATCCTAAGTGACTGGATTTGGAAAGCTTCCGGTTCCTGAAAACATGGAGATGTGGGAAGGGTGGCATATTTGGAGAGGGCAGGGAAGTGTCACACCCCTTCCCCCATACCTTGCGCTATGCAGTAGTTCTATCTGGCTGTTCTTGAGTTACATCCTTTTATAATAAATTGGTAATCTAATAAGTAAACTTTTCCTGAGTTCTGTGAATGGCTCTAATCAGAAAGGTGTCATGGTAACTGATTTATAGCCATTCCATCAGAAACATGGACCCTGATTTGCAGGGTAAGCAGTCTTATAGGACTGAACCCTGAACCTAGGGGATCTGACACTATACTATATCCAGGTAGATAATATTATAACTTAATTGAGTTGTAAGACATCCAGCTTTGAATTTTAGGACATTATCTGTCAACATAAAAAATGTCCAAACCTGTAGAGAAATTTAATAAGTTTATTTGAGCCAAA